TAGCTTGGTAAAGCATACATGTTCTTTAAAACTTCCTCATCTTAAGTTGTTATTATTATTATTATTATTATTATTATTATTATTATTATTATTATTATTATTTCTTTATTAAAAGACTTACGGTCGTAGGCTGTAGACTACCTTAATTTACTTATTAATACTTTTGTATATTTTTTTCTTACATAATTTTAAGGTCACTATCGAGCCCTCGGTCGAGTCATTCATGTCGCAAACTTGAAAAACCAGCTTAAGACAGAACAAGGCTTGAATTTTGATCCCGCCAGAGCTGCTATTGACCTTACTGAACAACTGGAAATTCTTGCAGACACTCTTTATGTTAAGGTAGCGTTAGATCTCGGACTTAGCGTACATTAATTGAACTAAGGAATGATTAAGAATTGTAACAATAATTGTAATAATAATAGTAATGATAATAATCTTTAATGAGATAACTTTTTCATACAGGTATGGCTTTTAAAAAGGATCTCATAAAATAAAAAAATTAAGTACACACAATCAACGATATTATAAATTTACCACTTGACATGTTTATAAATTATGATTGAAAAGTTATTTTTTTTACCGTTGGTAGCAGCAGACAAAAAGCTGAAAATACAATTTTGCAAAATACAGAAATATTACTCGTCAGAGGAAGGTTTGACCTAAAGATGTTTATACTATTATTAGTTCTGGTTGTTACCCGACGTTTTTGTGGAACAAAAGAATAAGCATCGCCATTACAGCTGCTATTTACTCCCGGCGTATGAAATTTATGCAAGTAGCGAAGTGAAAGAAAACTTGCTTTGTCTCAATAATTTCAACAGGGAGAAGTTTCCTTTTATGGAATTCAAAAAGTAAAAGTATTTGCAAGGGAAATTGTTGCTGCTAGTGGAAGTACGCTCGGTGTATTTACTCCTAATTGGAAACAGACATTTTCACGCCCAGTTGCTACCGAAACAAACGGAGATGGAACCAAAGGAGAGGATGGCAAACACGGCCCAGACGGACCAAAAGGTGGGAAGCCTTTTTTAAATTTTTGACTGGATTTCCTTACACACGGCAGGTTTCCTTGTAAACCAGGATCGGGGGTTGAGGGTTAAGGATTGGGGATCAAAATCGGGGATCGAGGATCGAATATCATTAACCATATGCAAAAACGTGTTAACCGAATTTCCAAAAACAAATTTGAAAAGACCAGAAAATGAGCGCAAATGAAGTGAAAATGGCTTGTGACTCTCGTTTATGTGTATAAAATAGGAACCTTCCGGTGAGCACAATGTGTTTGCTTGGGTGATTTTCATCTACAAATTGTTCAACTTCGTTCTGGTAGCGTTACCGGCTAGTTGTTCTTAGTCATTATACGTTTCTGGAAAACTGCCCACCTACCCCTCCCCCAAGCAAACACTACCACTTACTTCTTGCTTAGGGCAAAAGGTTGGCTCAGGGGAGGGGTAGGTGGGCAGTTTCCCAGAAACGTATAATGATCCTAGTTTTGTACACCGTAAGATAGACAGTAGGATATTTTGGTAAGTTAAAAGAAAACCAGGGCATTTTTTCCCAGGACGTTCCACTTTTATAAGGAAATTCTCTGAGCTGATTCCACTGTCCAGTCACAGCAATCTTCAGCAACGTGTCGATCATATCAGCAATAACTCCCAACAAAATCTATCCAAATGCAAAGAAATGCTGACCCGTTCCAATAGAACTGATGATCTAATAACCGATTCCCGATCCTTGGTATTGGTTTTCCACTAGGAAATCGAGACAGCAGGTGACAGCGGACAGCATACAGTAATTCGAAACGTAGGAAATTAAATTTCAGTGCGCGCGCAGTATTTACGATTTATGGTCTCATTTTGCTTTTCGTTTTATTTTCCAGTGGAAATAATCTGTGACGTAATAACTGGAACCTTCGAAGTGAGTTCTAAGGGAGGAAATGGACATAAAGGACAAGATGGGGGACCGGGTTCAGATGCAACGGACAGCCACTCTGAAGTAGGTTGTTTACTTACAGACCCACCCACGGTTTTTTAACTTTTGACATGGACCAGTTAGGGAAAATCTGTCGATGCCACTGGAAAGAACGCATCAAAGTTGGTAGAATTGCCAAGTTTGAAAGTGATGTGCCTTAAGCGAGCAAAGATATAGTTTCTGAAAGTTGCGAAAATTTGCTGTCGTTTGTATGGTAGAGGGCAAGTTTTTAAACTTTTTTATGCCCCCGGCCTCCATACAAACGTCTGTAAAATTTCGCGACTTTGAGGAGCCATATCTTTGTTAGTTTTCCACAAATCACTTCCAAACCTGGCACTTAGTTTTGCCAGTTTAAACGCGCTTTTTCCAGTGGAGTAGGCGGATTTCCCTAACTTGTTCATGTCAAAAGTTGAAAGAAGCCGTGGAAGGATAAGAAAATCGTGGAGCATAAGAAAAAATAAACCATGTTTCCGGAGTGCAAACTCGCCTAAGTTATTCAGAGTTATATGCCACAAGCAATAAGTAAAAGGCATAGATTAATTACCAAGTCGTGAGAAAATAACATACACAAGTTCTATAAATACAACAAAAATAATAAGTCATTTAAAAGAAAAGTAGCATATTGGAATATGTTGCAAGTTAAACAAAGTTTATCACAACAACCCACATATTAGTACCTGTTGATCTTGCTTGGCTAAACAGGTTCTTGGACTTCTGGGTGATATAAAGTGGTGCATTTCTGCCGGGAGGTTCTTAATCCACAGGTTCTTTAATTATATGCGGGTGTTTGCTGTATTGTTAAATATTCTCTACCTTTAGTTGGTGCCACATTATATACCTGATTGAAAAAACGTTGTCGCTGAAGTATAAACCATGAACGATGAGGTTTCAAGGATTTATGGGTAGTAGGTTCATTAGCAAAGCAAATTCAAAGTTCTTTCGACAAAAGTTTACATTGTCACGAGATGCTCGTGCGGATGCAAATCCCTAGAGTACTTTGTTTAAGGCATGCTGTTGTCTTTTTTTTTGTCTTCCAAGAACGCTTTTAGGTCCTATCTTATGATTTTCAAGTGTGCGTTAGCGATATGGCTACGCTCTTTAACTGTAGAAATCTCTTGTGTGTCCAGCACTGGTGAAGTTGTGAGCCGTAAATACTGGAAACCGTTTTACGTTTTTTGGAATGCATTGTCGCGAAAAGCTTCGTAAATGTAAACATTTTTGAGAAAAACTTTAAATTTGCAATGCTAATAAAGTTCTACCCATAAATCCATTAGGTCCCATCGTTCATGGTTTATACTTTTCAAGCGACAACGTTTTTTCACTATCAGATGTATACGAAAGTCAATTTCTTAAGCGTTCGGTTGCTTGTTGTGAATGGAAATTAATCAAGCATAATTATTTTCTTAGGGAACTGATAAGGACAAGAGTAAATGTTCTAGTGGTATGCATAGATTCCCGCCGCCTTCATGGTTGAGAGACAAATGCGAAGGTCTATATCAAAGGGCAAAACCAGGAGAGAGAGGAAAAGATGGAGGAAAAGGAGGAAATGCTGGAAAACCAGGTACCTTACACTGTGTCTTTTATTTTGATTGATTAGCTCTCTTGTAAAATTATATCATGTTTCCCTTTGGCTGTTTTGTCATTTTTTTTGTCCGTTTTTGCTCGGGCCTCCGTGGGAAACACCCGAGCTTAAAAGTGAGCTCGATTTTTTTTTCTGACACAAATCGTCCTCTAGCGTCTTCAGCGCGTGCGCAAGATCGGATATAAGAATATACGAAAATAGTTCAGCGGACTGAAGTAGAGAACGTGGCTTCCTGTCTGAGGTGAGCAAAGCCATCTGTTTCGAATTGGTCTGTTTTAATAGAATATAACAAAACCGGACTTACATGAAAGTTTACTCTAGAAGTAACAAGATTTTTTTTGGCATTTCTAGATTTTTATTACATTGCCCATTGACAGAAAAAGCCATTCTTTGACTTGGATTAGGAAACTTTAACTAAGGAATGTGACCACGTACGGCCACCTTTTTAATGTAACAAAGAAAGGCACGTGACCCAAGTAGTTAACGTCTGGCAACAAAATCAACTGTCACGCGTATCTTTGAACTTGCAGTCTACATGTTTTGGTAGTTACCGGGGAGTTACTTCTTAGGAATGGAACCCAACGAATGATGTCTTTACCATTCAAAATTTCACAATAAGTGGCAACAAGGAAATGAACTATTCTTCCAAAAGTTCTCTTTATTAGACCAAATATCCCTTGGAAGACTGTTTGCGGGTAACGAAGGTTTATATTCATCTGCAGATTTATCGCAAGGCTTCTTTTGCCCATAACTTTTTCTCCACAATACTATTATAGGCATAATTGGCTCCGCAGTCGGTAGAGGGTGTGACTGCAGAGCGGGAGGTCGCGGGTTCGATCCTCGGGCCAGACCAATACTCAGGGTCTTAAAACGCAGGTACCCCAAGTTCACGAGTGAGAATCAGTAAATCGCTGTTGCGTAACATAAATATTATAAGAGTTTGTATGGAGACTTACGCGATTGTTATTTAGGGGTCAAAATAGTAATAAAAGTACATCAGAATTTCTTACCTTGTCTCCCTCTCTAAATTTATGGTGTTTTCGTAGCATTTTTGGCCGTTTCAGGGCGATTCCAGCGATTTTTGGTTTTAACGTTGTTCGTTATCAGTATATATAATTCTCAAAGGTTGGTGACTTGCTGGTGGCGGTCTCGCATATCCATCGAAGGAAATCAGCCGCAAATCACTCCAAATAGTTCAATCGCCTCCAGACTTAACCCAGGGCACGTTACAATCCTCGTCTAATTACTGCTTTTCTTCACTGGACAAAAGCGCCCTTGGTGCGCGATTATCAGCTCGCCAAAACAACGACTCTCTTCCATCGAGAGCCATCGATGAAGCTTTGCCACGAAGTTCCGCGCACGGCCGTTGAAAATCTAACCTTAGCGACCCCAGCCTTGCGGTTCAAGTTACATGCACACACGGTGGGTGAGGCGACAATTTTCGCCAAAACATCAACATTATCCCCTACTAGTGTAAAAAAACTGAAATGTTCTTCTCTGTAATCCTTAAGGTAACGGGGGCAATGCCGGCGGTATGACACTACGCTACAGAAAACAGATGGGACAGACAACATTAAAAACCTGTGGGGGGACTGGAGCTCAGCCAGCTCAAAATGGAAAAGGAGGAAAGGGTAAGACATTTCTGCATTTTTTTTTTGTTAGCGTTCAATTCCACGCCACCGTGGCTTACGTCATTGTGATGTGGAATTCAAGGCGGGAAATAGTTTTATTGTTATCGAATTGATAGATGCCATTTGCCCTCAATTAACCAATGACTGTCCAATTTGATCTGTAATCGTGTATTCGTGATTAAACAAATCGGATATTTGTTAATCACTTGTATGTTTACAGGCGGAATTGGACGATACTCAGGCCTATTGGTAGTGGTAGTGGTAGTGGTAGTGGTAGAGGTAGGGGTATTGGTATAGCGGTAGTAGCAGTAGTTTGTTCACTGTCGAGAAATTAGATATTTCATCATCGCTAAGATTTAATTACTCCGCATGTACGTTTTGAAAGTTTTGCAAACGGCAAATTAAGACATGATTAAAGACGCAACCAGTGCCTTAAGAAAATTATTACTTTGAACCTTAGGTGGCGAAGGCGGACAGGGAGGACGTGGAGTAAAATGCCACTTAAAATCTGTGCGTACGCAAGGGTGGCAAGTTATAGTTGTTTGCCAAGGAGAATACACTGAAAGAGCCCGTAAAGGAGATACCGGTAAAAAAGGAGCAGCAGGATCGAGTAAGATAATTTTAATTAGATTCAACATTGTCAGTTAATTTCTGGCCAAACCAAGAATCGTTGTTGTAAACTAAAAGGAAATCTTCACCAAATAGTTACTTTTACATAATTGTATACGAGATAGGACAACATGCTGTCCAATTTGGAAATAATTGGATGAAAAAAAAAAATTCCGAGGACAGCCCAAATTAAACTTGGCTGTCAGAAAAATTTTTTGAATGCAATTTTTTACAAATTGGACAAGCATGTAGTCCTCTCACCTATTAATCATATAGCTGGTTAGCTTATCTGGATTTGTTTATAATAAGCGTTTGACAGAAATTAAGAATATTGTAAACTCAAACCGTCTGTAGTTAAAACAAAAACCGACGGCAAGATTCAAAAAAGAAAAAAACAAAATTTATTCTAATTGTCTGACAACTTGCCATTCACAAGGCACAAACAACGAAACAACAATGCAAATACTTAATTTAAACAAGGAAACTGTTGAAAATAAACAGTATTTGATACGCCACGAATGCGGGCTTGTTTCCAATACAAACTTTGGTCACACTTTTCCTTGTAACAAACAGTAGCATTTGGTGTCATACTGACGGCATTAATATATTCACAACAACAAAAAAGTCAAAAGCCTTCGCCGACGAACCGCCGTCAGCTAACAAGACTTTTCTGGCGCGTTGCCGGTCACAGTAACTTTGTGCTTACCGGCTATTTTGGATTGCCTTTCGTTTTCTGGCATTTGATTGGTTCAGACAAACTGTAATAACTACATACGTTTGTATTTAAATAGGTGTGACGTTAATTACACTTTATTCTATTCGTTGAGTGTTGAATTCCGACGGACGTTTCGTGCAGGCCGTAAGGTTGAAGAGTGCATAGTTGAGCGCACCAGATCAGAATGCCTCTCTAAGGGCCTGTTTACATTGAGGTGGGGGACCCCAGGTAGGTGAGGTAACCCGCTAAGGTGGGTAACCCGCCTGTCCATATAATCTCTCATGATAGGTGGGGTGACCAGCCAAGACAGGTAGCCCGGTCTGCCAGACCGGATAACCCTCTCAGCCAGGGTCAAATTTTGCCATGTAAACGTTTCAAGGTGGCGTAACCTGCCTAGCCGGGGTCGGATTCGCGATACTAAATTCGCTTAAAATTCACTTTGGCGGTGGCTTTGCATCATTATTAAAGGTAGCAATCGAAAGCCACAGCGCTGAAGGTTGTAGCAAGAGCAGCAAGTGAGTGTAGGAGAGCATTAATCACCAAAAAACGTGGTTTGTCAGCATTTTGTTGTTTACGTGCTTAGCGACCATTCAGTAATCTTGAGAAAGTGTACCCAGGGATGGCGGGGTTGTAAGGTTGCATGTAAAGGAGGGATATTTTTTACCCCACCTAAGCGGGTTACCTCACCTATCTGGGGTCCCCCACCTTCTTGTAAACAGGCCCTTTATTTGAAGAATTATAATGTCTTTTTAATTTAAGCTGCCAGGGAAAATAAAAAAAGTTGTATATAATTATATCCAACTCTAGCCTAAAATATTTAATTCAATCATAAAACATTTCTTTCACTATAATTTGTTTTCTTCAAAGATTCTCTTGAACCAGTTGATAGCATTATATGTAGATGTTTACCTTAGTATTCAAGGCACCATTGTCGCACTCGCACTGTTCGATTTTAGAAGAAAATCGTAATGACTTAATGAAAGCTAAGTGCGTTTATACTTACCTCTCGTCCCATGTAACGAAATCCAAGACAGTCTTGGATTCTGGATTCAACACCGTGGATTCCGGATTCTAGGTACTGGATTTCGGATTCTTCGTCAGTGGAACTTGGATTCCGGATTCCAATCTGGATTCCTTGAGCTATATCGCGGATTCCAAAGCCCGGGATTCCGGATTCCACAAAGATAAACTTCCCGTATTCTGGATTCCACAAGCAAAAATTTCCCGGATTCTGGAGTCCGCAATCCCTTACATGGGGCGATACTTCTCTCTGAATAGGCCTCTTCCGAGTTCAAAAAACCCTCACTTTCAAAATGAGGCTAGGTGCACAACCTTTCTTGTGAAAATGAGTTTTATTTGCATGAGAATGAAAAATGATTTCCATATCAAAGTCTGAGCACCTACCCTCGTTTTGAAACAGAGGCCCGGGGGAACTCGGAAATGGCCTATTCACTTTACATAGTAGGCAACAACGAGGAAATATACCTGATATTGGCAAAGACTAACGGATTCAATTTTTACCGTAAAATTCCGAAAATCATGCCCCGGGGCTTATGTTTTTCAAAGGCCCTTTTTGAGTGGCTTATTTTTGGAGGGGCTTATCTACGGAGGGAAATTTACGTTTCAAATCGATTGGGCTAGCCTTATAGTTGGAAAGAAATTTACCGTTTTTATTTTGTTTTACTTTGTATTTGGAGGGGCGATTTAACAGAGGTGTTTTTGCGTTACGTGTTTGGGGGGGCTTATAGAGCGTTTTCAATCACGTGACCAGCATCTATGCTAATTCATTGGAGCAAAAGAAAGTTTTTACATAAGAAAAGAGTTCAACTCCCACAGGACTGGTTTGGAACACCAACATGGCCGCCGTTTCATTCTTTTGGAACACCAATATGGCCGCCGTGACGTCATGTGAAAACGCTTTATACATAGGGGGGCTTATTTTCGGAATTTTACGGTATTACTAGAATCTATGGGGGATACTCTTTACCTGGTTTGACTGTGACGGAAGCTTCGCTTTTAACCTTGCCTTAATCTATGTATTATACAATAATATTTTTCAGCACCAGCCGTTAAAGGAAACGACGGCACTGTCAGCAAGGAACTTATTCAATACGGACTTCTGGACGCACCAAGCAAGAAAAAATTTCCAGCGGAACTCTTGCTTATCATAAGAAGGCGAGCTGTCGACTTGTTGCTGGCTGACAGAGACAACCAAAAGGGTAGAGACGCCCTGCGGTTTATTAAAGATGTGGCGACTGGAAGAAATGACGTGGAAGATATTAAAAAGGGTAATTATTTTGTGAGAGCAGCTTGGTTAGGTCACTGTTCAGGTAGCAACTTTGTTTTTATTGCTGTTGTTGATTAGGGTCTGCGTAAAATAATAATAACCATGATCATATTACACGGTGTATATTGCGGGCATCATTCCTCAAAATTGCATTCTTTGAACTCACAAGCTAACTTAAACAACTGTCGGATCGATTAACTTTTGATCAAGGGATGGACGACCTCGTAAGAACCAAACGGTCCGCTTTTGGAAAACCTTTTCACAATTATTATAACGACAAAATCTTACAGAAAGAAAAAGTAAATTAATGAATAGATAAAAAGAAAAATTAAAAGTTAAATTTAAATAAAAATTAAAATTAGAATTAACTTTATTCGAAACGTAGACTAACATTTCTTTAATTTTCTTGTTAAATGCTTTAACAAGCAACTGACCATCCGATCTCAAATAAATAAAAATAAGATGAAATAAGTCCGGTCTTTTAATGGTAATTATCACTTACTGGACGCGGCTGTATATCATACGAAAACCGAATCCAATAAGTGTTTTTAGTTACTATTCATTCAAAATAATTCATATTTTATACGAGACGAGCTGAAACATATTTACCTCGATCGGTGTTAGTTCTTGTCCTCATTTGGCTGTTTTCTAGGCAAATTCAGGATATGGAGGGATGTTTAGTCTAGCATAAATTCTTCAATAAGCAGATGCTATCCATTGAGTTGTATTTTTGCTGTTCTTGCTATGTTTTTAGGCACTGTTCTCAGTACCGTAAATATAGCAAGCATATTTTCATAATTAACAATTATTCCACGGGTACGCGTTGGAAATGAGTTGGCTATGAACATTTCATATCCAACAAGCGAGAATGGAATAATTGTTTTATTAAAAACACCCACAAAATATCGCGAATTGTTCCCTACTTTACTTGTAAAAACAACCGATTTTCAGCTTGTTTATAATTTTGAGCAGACAAGTACAGTTACCATATTTGGAGAGCATGGTATGATGGCTCACAACCATGATGGCTCAGCCAATCAGAGCTCTAGAGTTGCAATATCCAATGATTCAGTTTTTAATAGCAATAGATATCCCACAATTTCTAGCGTTGTATATATTACCACTGATTCTTCCTATTGTGTGCATTTGTCTAATGACATCTCAGAGTGCGGTGAGCGACCCACTGCCTTCAATGCATGTGAATGTACCGCTATCCACATCTGTGTACAGCGACCATTTTTACCCCTTTATATCTCACTGTATATCCATGTGTAGTTTAGGCAGTGAGAATATGTTAATATTTCGGATGTGGAATTTTTAGCTTGTAGGTTTTATTTTCCTGATTCAGACCACGTGGTGTTCTCAAGGTAGAACGCCATTGAGAAGCCTTTGCCTTTTATCTTTTCATTAGTTATGTACGCATATGTACGTGGATAGCGCGACATTTGAAAGAAACAGTTCTTGGGGTAACCACATGGTATGTAGTCTGCTACACAGCCGTTTTTAGTGTCGTCACGCAACGCAGGAGCATTGCGTGACGACCCTAAAAACGGCTGTGTAGCAGACTACATGGTATGCAATGGAAAAAAACCATACGAGCTAAAAAGGTCTGTTGATTTCATTACTTGTGGTAGCTTTATTGGAACTGCTGTTAGCTAAAGATTTCTAATTCTTGAAGAAAATTTTTCTACTATGGGTTCGGTTAAATAAGTGAAGCTACAAAAAAGCTTTGCGTCGTCGTCCAAGAAATGGCATAAAACCAAAATATTTTTTATGCACAGACCAAAAACGCAGTTAATTTCAGCACAAGACGTTTGAATGTCTCTTCAAGAATAGGTAGATGTTTTCATACTTGACCAACACGACCAATACATTGAATCATTCATTGTTAATCCTATTTCTCTTAGACGCAGAAAGGAAACTTGCCTTCTTAGATGTAGAAGGTTTTGACATATTTGGAAAGAACTCGCTCTTTGCTCCCCTTATCAGATGGGAAACGTTCTACGAAGATATCGACAACATAACGAAAGCAGCCGGTGATTATGAAAAAGCATTCAACGATATAATTACTAGCGTGAACAACAAAAAAGATTTAAAGCAGGTAAAAAGTTACTTCTTTGTAGCAACCGTGTAAAAATGGATCATATGGACGAATACTCTGTATATAGATGAGCAATTAGTGCCAGCAATAATACTGATCAATTTCTTCAAGGTGATCGTTTGAATTGTCATACACAAGCAGTGGCTGATCTATGGGGGTTCTGGGGGGGGAGGGGGGGGGGTTGTGGCTTCTTATTTTAGATCAAACTGAGGCCAACAGGGCCAAAGGAAAAAAAAGGTTTATCTTCCCTCGTATCTCAGGGACTGAATGAGCGGGCCCTCAACTTACTTAATGATCTGACCGAATCCGCCACTGACTAGTGCTTTATGCACTAACGTTACAAGAAAAAAATATAATGTTAAAGTACTGCTCGAGAACGTCAATTTGAAAGCGCAGTTCATATGATCTTAGTTCGCCAGTTTGAAGTTTATAGCCATCTTGCACGGCACAATATTTGGCACACCACGAAAGTACTGTTCAGTAACGTTCAACCATCGTCCACTCATCTCCAGAAATACAAGAAAGCTTGTAACCTTGAGATTAGATCAATTTTTTCGAATTTTCATGTGACTTCATGCTGACAGAATAGACCTTATTCACGATACCCGCCATCTTTGTAAGCGTTTAAAGACAGTGGGCAAACAAAAATAATATCTGCCGATACAATAAATCGCGTTCGACTTTGTTTATTCTAGACAACAGAAAATGAAGGACTTTTTATTCCTAAAGACGATAGTGGCAGATATATGGGTGGAAATGAGCATTGCTACTTTTTTTGGATGCGGTACCAGCTGTGGATGTTCTCACAGCAAGTAAAAATGACGTAAAACTTGTCGACACTCGAACTGTATATTTTGCAAGACTAAAGTCGTCGTCTCGTTCTAAGAGAATAAGCAGACTCGACCGCGATTACTCGAGTTGGCTAATTATATCAATTGTTTCCCCTTTGAAATAACACGTGACATTGATTTTATGCAATCAATCCTTAAGCGCGTACTAAGATGACAGGTATCGTGAATAAGGTCTTGCTAGTGATTGCGTTTAGGTGAGGATTACAGCTAGGGAACACTTCTTAATGTCTATCAGAAGGAGCATGAATCTTATTAACTTGCAATCTTGGGAAAGCTCTGAAACCTCAGCACCATACATAAATAAAAAAAAAACATAAAAGGGAAGAGTAATAATAATGAAAAAATCAACCCACTTGCCTCACCGGGAACCTGTCTTACTCATTCTCTTTTCTACGACAAAGACTTTGGGCCGGTTGAAAATAGCCTAACTGCTCGTTTTCTTTTGTTACTTTTTTTTCTTTTCTTTTTTTTAGATGGCGTCTAAATTTTCAGATGTAGCGACTAGACAAGTAACAGCGCAGAGAAATCGGCTTATTGCGGCCAGAAACGTCGACGAAAGTGAAAAAAGGATGTATATCAAGGTATTTTTGTGCCTGAAGGACAGCACACTTCTTAGTTCATGTTGTTATACACAGTCAATTAATGAATACTGTGACTTTTGTTAAATAGAATACAAAAACTGATATTTTTACTACGAAGAAGACCAATCGGGGTCTATGGATCTTATGTCTTCCTTTTAAGTTTAAGTGCATTTTAGTACGCAGCGATCATTGAACTAAATGCACAGTTCAGGTGAGACACGGAGCTCGAAGCAAATATTTAATCGTTTTACGTACAATATTCGGGCTCGGTTTTTTGGCACTTTTTCAGCTTTTTGGTATCGTGATTACTCTAGAGACCCTAATCCTTAAAATTGAAACCGGCTCACATAATTATACCCTGCGAGCAGAGTCTCCTTCGATCTTCATAGATAAGTCGGGACCTCTTCTCGACTTATCTAGGAAGATCGAAGGAGACTAGCTCTGCTCGCAGGGTAACATAATTATGGCCTGCACCAATTATGAAAAGTGAATGTAAACATTACGTAAACAATCCGCGACAGACAGCACGTCTCCATGGTTATCCATTAAAGAAAAGGTGTTTTGGAAGCTAGCGTTCTCTTTTAAGATATATATGTTTTTAGTATATACTAAAACAGTGATGAGTGTTTTTCGCGCGCTCTGATTGGCTACTCAATCAGTGAATATCCTGCACTATTCACTGATTCACCTCCAGTTCCTCCGAGCGAGCGACGCCAAACTCGCGTAGGTTGCGAGCAAAATGCTTTCCCTGTTTGCTGCCGTAACAAACAAAGAAATTTCACAACTAATCAAGCAAGCTATTTCCGAAATACATGAAGAAGGTGACGAAGTTCGGTTTGGAAGTTTTAACAGGAAAAGCGTTGTCTTTTTGACTTGAATAGTTATCGATAAAACCGGTGAAAAAGTTTTTTGTTGACAAATGCAAATTAAGCTTAAGTCTTGCGTTACTTTATTTAGTTGACTTGTTCATAAATAAGCTAAAAACTAAATTTACTAGCCACTACTAGCCACCTCCACTTCGGTGAATAATTTTTATTTATTCAATACATTTTTTTTCCACGAGTATACTCTACAGTTGTGTTTGTTTCATTTTCTTCTGTCTTTAACTACTATTATTGCCATTCGAACAGTGTGAAAAGTGTTTCTTTTTCAAATGATGAGTTAAATTCAGGGCTTTTTGAGAAAGGACTTTTCCTTGGTTGAGTGTCAAAGTAGCCCTACACAAAACTTTTTTTGTTTGTTTAATTGTTTTTGTTTTTTTGTTTTTTTTTTTTTACTATGGTGGGTGTTTGAAACTAACAACTTATTTCTCCCTTATTCTCCCCCCCCCACCCTTTTTTTTTTTTTTACCCTTATTTCACCCCTTTTCCCCTTTTTCATTTTGTGTTTTTTTTTTTTTTTTCTTCCCACCCTATACATACAGAGGAGAGTAGATGATGATCAATACTACCACAAACAGAAGATTTGTTACCTGCATTTTCATACACATTTTTTTTTTTTTTTTTTGTTTTTTGTTTTTTTTTTTTTTTTTTTTTTATTTTTGGTTTTTTGATATTATCATTTTTTTTTTTTTTTTTTCCCCCCCCCCCCCACTTTTTTTCTTCTTACACTGATCTTCACACGTTCTTCCTGTTTGCCGTTGGCTTATCGTATCTCTTCTTTCTACAGGCCATAAAGTCAGAGGAGCAGAGAATGATAGGTATACTAACAAGAATCATGAACTTGTTACCTGAAGCTTATCAGAAAACGAAGAACAAGTTAGACGCAGAGCAGTTTTTGGCAGTTCTTCAGGGAATCACTGGGTTCTCAGGAGCTGTAGCAGGCGAAGACCCCTTTGCATTTATTGACTCGGCTGTCGGTATAATGGATTACGAAATAAACAAACCATGCTTCAAATCACTGGGCACAATTCGCAAAAATCTCAAGAAATGGATCACATTTGGAAAAGAGTACAAACCACTCAGCGATTCTAGTGACTTAAACTTTGACAAAGTGAAGGTCTCCGCAATCCCCGAAGTTATGAAGGTATATATTTTCTCAAAATCATTAATTATTCATGCCGTAAAAAGCCAGTAAATGACGACCATTTGGTTCAGGTGGATGAATCTTCATACCTAATGAAACACCAGATAAAACACAACCAGGTTTTCATCTGAGATCAAACATATTTTTTATCTGAGATCAAACATTTGCATTTTAATGAGATGTAACACAACTCATGGAACAATGCAATACCAGAGAAAACGGGTTTTGCTAAAAGCAGGCCTGCTGCCCAGCGGCTCGTGGCCCACGGCCCGCGGCCCGCGACGGCCCGGAGGCCCGGAGGCCCGGTGGCCCAGTCCTCATTTTGCGTTATTTTTTTGTCCAGCGGTAAATCCACGCGCATGCACAGATCTGCATTGGGTTTTGGCGTGCAAAATGGGCGACGGTGAGTTTGAATTCGTTTACCATTTAAAAAGTCGTCGTTGTGGTCGTCGTCGTAGTTGCTTAAGCTCCCTAATGGTTTGGCCCTACCAATTCTATCTTCATATCAATGAACTACTGCAAAACAGATGGCATTTCCTTTAAGTGGCGTGGCCGCAGTGATAGGCAACTTTAGGTGATTTTTCCGGATGGTAACGACGGAAGTGCAGATGGTAGGTATTACTGCCACTTGGTCTGTGGCGACACAACATTTTGTGGCCAAGGTCAATTGGGTATATTATTTCTTAACTTGCACTACTTTCTTAACTTTTTTTTCTTTTGTTTTTTGTTTCTTTGTTTTTTTTACCTGGCATAAATGTTGCTGTTTTTGTTGTTTTTCATTCAGGCCAACTTAGACATAAGCAAGGAAAAGCTGGCTGCTGACTTAGTTTGTTTATTGGAAGAGGCTGCTAGACCTCGGGACGTTGCCCCGCTGAAAGCGGAAATGGAGTCATACTTCATTGTTGGAGGGGCACGCATTGACATGATAGGGAAAGTTGTAGAAATTGACAATAATATAGGAACCAACAACTTTGATATTCCACTTCTTGAAAAGACTGAAAAGGGAATTATTGCGGCTGGCAAGTCAAAAGGTATGAGAATCGATTTACACCAGAGTCAACGTATGATGCTTCGAAGAAGGTCCTTAGCCATTCTTTCACTTGCTAAAATGCAAAAATTATATCGTACTGAATACTCTAAATTGGTAAATAAATCATTTAAAACATTTTGCGAGCGTTTTGGGTTGCTTGAAGACCATTTTGCCGGAGTCCTTACTGCACTTTCTACTACTACTAGCTGAAGTGCAGTGCTTGTGGTGATTCTGAAACGCAGAACGAAGGCGTCAGAATAATAAGGTCGCTAGACTACCATTCTGCCAATAATTTTGAAACTAAGTCTAACTCTACATGTATATTAGACTGCGAGCAGTCCCTTAGGATGGTCACGCAAGCGAGGAAAGCGCGAGCGAGAAAATCGAGCGAAGCGAGCGAAAGCCGAGGGGCCGCGAGCGAGGAAAGCGCGGCCAATTCGCTCTCTCCAGTCCTGCCAAGCTTAGACTTGACTGACTGAAGAGGGACTGCTCGCAGTGTACATGTATATGGCTTCCGTTTTCACGTGAACGATGTACTAAAATCAACAGAACAGTCTCTGGGGTGGATATATGTTTAACTTTTTCAAAAGTATGAGTATTGATCTGGTGTAGCCAACATGAATGCACGAGTATTTTTACGCGTTTACAAACTTGTGGTTTTTCGCAGGTACCGTCACCCCAAAGAAACAAAGGAGCCAAACAATAGAGTTCTCCTGAGAGCTTTATTGTTTGGTTGTATTGGAGACTCAAGTAAGAGGGTCTTCAATAAGTTTTTCGGGATGCGGGATTTCCCTTATTTGAGGCTCAGGATTCGGGATTTTAAAGGGAAATCGGGGCGAGATTTGGGATTGAAAGTTTGCGCGGGAGGTGGGATGCCAAAAGTAACCCTCGGGATTACGGGATTGCCCGAAAAATTTGGGTCGGGGTTACAGGATAGAAAATCCCTATTGGGGACCCTCAAGTAACTAAAGCTGAAAGCTGAAGTAACTTGTCATCGCTCCCAGTCGTTTTTCGATCCTCACATTGTAATAATATTGTAGCAATGTTGTAGTTTTTACAATACCAACACTGTAACTAGTCCACTTACCATCCGTGCCCTCCTGACAGGTCAGGTATATATGTTTTTATTAGACTAAAAGGTCCGTTGTACTGATGTGATGAAACTCTCCTTCACTGGCATAAAAGTTTGACCTAAAATTGTTCATCCCTTGGAAATAATGTTAAATTTGTTAGTTTTAGCGTTATGTATAGCTACTAACAAACAATTTTTCGCGTTTGAATTGAGGTGGCGTGTTAACCACGGAACTCCGCCAAACCTTCGCAGACAATCTTCTCAGCACATACAAACAACTGGAAAGGTCATTTATGATCAAGCTCTATGAGCTGCACAAGGCCCTTGGATTCCATACACTGTGGAACTTAAATGACTTAATAGGCTCATTCCGACGGATTGCTTCAGAGAGTGCACTGGGCGTTGGGCGACTTAACGGAGCGGTGGAACTTACGAGGGAACTTCAAACTCTGTCCGGGGTTATAGGAAAAGCTCTATTATGTTTCACTAAACTGAAATATACAACAAATGTCCATAAATGGAGCTTTGACAAGAACAGAAACAAAAAGGTAATCATGTAAACAACGTCACAAAGTCGCTCGTTTTATTATCATTATTATTAATTTTTATATATATATATAAATTTTTTGGTGGCTATAATGTGTAACCGCATCTGTTGCAAGTGGAAAAACCTCTTGTTGACAACCAGATGAAACTAAGCTGAAACAAGAACCTTTGGATCCGCTGAGAAAATGTTGTCTAACATGTTAACTAAACCGGCTACCGTAAAATTCAAAAAAAATAAGCCCCTCCATGTATAAGCCCCTCCAAATATAAGCCCCCCAAACCAGTAACGCAAAAAACCCTCCGTTAAATCGCCCCTCCAAATATAAGCCCCAGCGTGCTTGTACTTGGAAAATTGCCCACAAATACAAAGTAAAACAAAGCAAAAACGGTAAATTTACTTCCAACTGTAAGGCTAGCCCAGTCGATTTTGAAACGCAAATTTCCCTCCGTAGATTAGCCCCTCCGAATATAAGCCCCTCCAAAAATAAGCCCCTCAAAAAGGGCCTTTGAAAAATATAAGCCCTGGGGCTTATTTTCGGAATTTTACGGTATGTTGCTTACTAAGACGCATAAACAATGCAATGCAGGGTCCACAATACAAGGCGGGGGTGGTGTAGTATTTAGAAGCGATTATTGCTATTTCACTTCGCCAATATTATGCTTAATGACACCACAGGCGGCCCAGACTCTGTGGGAGTTCGTTAGTTTGGAAGCCTAATTATCGACGTTTAAGATTTTGAGTTTATTTCTTATTGTTAGTACAACTCAAAATCCTAAACGTCGATAAGCAAAGAGACAGTAAATAACAAAACAAAACCACAAGGTGAGTCATCTTTATTTCTATTTAAGTCAAAAAATGAATTTTAGGACGAATTTTGTATTTTTTCATACATTCTCTTATATTAATTCAAAGTCTAATGAACTCCCACAGAGTCTAGGCCGCCTGTGATAACACGCGTTTTAAAATGTTTCTTGGTGTTAGCTTAATAGTTCCGATTCAGATTTTATTCACCTCACCTGGGATCAAGTCAATATAAACTTTAGAAATTTTAGTTTAAACTGTACCTGTAGTTTCAAAGTTAAGAAAGTCAGTTATCAATTACGTTATATAAGTTTTGTTTAACTGGTCCCTAGTGGCTTTATGCAATTAATGACAGAAGTCATGACATTGTTTCTGACTCTCAATTTCGTACCCAGATGTCTTGAAGACGAAGCCGACAAGAGATCTGGGCTCGAGATTATCTGATACTGCCAAACGTCGTCCTCTAGAAGATTGATTTCAGCCAAGTCTGAAGACGTTCAGATTACATGCTTTAATGTTATTTTTTGCCACTGTTAGAATATAACGTTATTTCTAAATTTTGCAGATGTTTAAAGAAATCCAACAAGAAGGTTACACTAGATTCGGTATCAGTGAAGATGAAATTTGCCCCAGTTGTTACAACGCGCGACTTATTAAGGTAAGAATATACATATAACTCATCATTTATTCCTTGTTCTTGGTGTTGTTGATATTTTTGGAATTGTTTTTTTTTGTAACACAGAAACTAGTTTGCAGCGTTTGGGGTTACCTTTACAATGATATTTTTGAGACGCTTTTTTTGTACAATCGTATAAACATTCTAGTTGTCTATATCACCGCCTGGTCAGCTCGATTGGACAAGCGCCGGTCTGCCGAGCGGTAGGCCACTGGTTTAAATCACGGCCGGACTAACACTCGCTTCCTTACATGGAACACATTATCACTCCCAACGCTGCCGACCTAATCTAATTAAGCACTTGCTCTAGACTTTTGACATTGTATTGTTGCGTTAGAATGAAACTTTAAAAACTGTTAATAATTCGGCAGATGTACATCGAACTCTACGGTTTTGAGCAGCAAGATACAATACCTGACAAAATTCATCTCAAGGTGCGCCACCTAAGCGGAGCTCATTTCCTGGCAGGTGACAAAAAGATTAAGAATTACCGCCAGCCAATAACTGACTACAGGAATCTCAAGTTCGATCGATTTACCATCAGCAATGACAAGAAGTGTCGTAAGAAAAAGAAACGGGGGAAAAATTCAAGTAAGCATTCATAATAGTAGTTTGATTTTAATTCAGAGTTTTGTAACTAAACCACTCCTTTATTCGTATTAATGACAATATCCTAAGGCCCAGTTCAAACGTCGAGTTTCACATGTGCCGAACTTAATTCCTATTTTAGTCGACTAAAATAGTTAAATACGGTATTTGCCGTTCAACCGTCGAATTTAACTCTGTTCGCTGTCAATATTCCCAGTTAAAAAATAATAATTTACTAAAATTCATGCATTAAGTTCGGCACATGTGAAATGCGACGTTTGAATCAGAAGTCGTTCCTAAGTCAAATCTTCGACTGTTTCGGTCGTAGATACGGCAAACGTCGCATGTAATTTAAACAGTCGAATTTAATTGATTCAAACGTCGCACTTCACATGCATTTAACTCTCGCGTTAAGTTCGGCACATGTGAAATTCGACGTTTGAACCGGGCCTAAGGCTCCGTCCACACAATGCCGGATAAATTTGAAAACGGAACTTTATTTTTCCGGTTACGCCTTCCGTCCACACTAATCCGCACAAATCCGGATAAATTCTCCATCGAAAACGGAACTTTTCGAAAACGATCTCCAGATCTAGAGTGGAAGAATTTAAAAACGCCGGCTAGCCGTATTAGTGTGGACGGAGAACATTTTGACAGCGGAACTTTTCGAAACAGGCGACGCTCGGCGACACGTCATGATTGTCATGTGATTTCATTGCCCGAGTCTTCCTCGATCATAAATCCAACAAGGTGGACGACGAGATCATAGATTTTTTTGTTGTCCATGATATCAAGTTTAATTGCATGCTTGGAGTTAAATACCTCACTTTATAACATGTATGAGAGAAATCAAAGGCCTTCGAAGTTTTGTAGTCGCCTGTGACATTCAACAACAATTTCACCTCGTCATCAGACCATGAAAAGTATTCGGTTTTGTTTTTTTCTTCCGCAGTATTCTTCTTATGGCTTGACATGCTAGGTAAATTAAAAAAGATAATAACCTCTTTCGCGTAAACAACAACGTTCAAATATGGCAGGAGTAAGGAGAAGTCGGCTGGAAGCCGACTTCTCGGCGGGCTCAATGCCTTGATATGCGCAGGCTCAAAGGTGCGTTTAAGCGTTTTTGACGCCTCTGATCTTTGTAGTGTGGACGCAGACAGAAGCTCATATGGGCTCCTGACGCAGAACACTTTATCCGTTTTCATGTGTGGACAGAAAACTTTTGTTTCGTTTTCATTGTGAGAGGTCCGTTTTAAAATTTATCCGGTATAGTGTGCACGGGGCCTAAGTTCATCCCCTTTCTACTATACTTGTAAAAAAAGGGACATTTTACTCGAGTATATAACAGAACAAAGGGAATAGGAAGCAATGGCACGCAGGCTGTAACTGAATGATCAATTCAGTACAGTCTGTGGCACCTCTATCAGGGGACACCCTCGAGATCAGGGCAATTATCCCCTGAATAGAGGTGTTCCCTTAATGGAATTTGGGCCGGAATTTCGTTGATAATTAACCAACAAATGAAATATTTTTATTTTATTGTACCTCGGAATCTGCTACCGTCATTATTTTTCAGCAGTTAGATAATGTATTTATATAAAAAAAAAATCACGATTAACTTATCTCTGCGATGTTGTGTGTTGAATTCCTACAAGTGCAGAACATCAATTTAAGTGATGTAGCTCGTGTAGTGAAAGTTGTTTCCATTGTGACTGTTAGTCACTTTTCAAGTGCTAAGGTGTCCCCTGAATGGAGGTTGAATCCGGCAAAAGTGCCCCTTTCCTCTGTATAGAGGTGTCACTTCATTAGAGCTAACAAATACAATGATTATGTGAACGTTTTTTTGGCGTCAAATTTTGTGTCCCCTGAATGGAGGTGTCCCTTGAATAGAGGTATCCTAAAGGAAAGGTTCCACTGTATTAGTTTATAAAGAAAGGTAGCAATTATCAGCGTGCACAGATCAATGAAAAAAATCATTCTAAGTCGACAGACAGTGCGTATTCTTCGGGAAAAGAGAGATTCCTCATAATTTCTTAGCGCCTTGATAATCTGTTATTCGGTTCATCTTTATCATCCTTCGACTAGAGTATTCGCTCATTTTCCTCAGGGATACATGTAGTAAAGCGCACATGAAAATCGCCACACATTCACTCCCTCTATTATCCCTGAGGAAAATGAGCGGCAACTGTTAGACTCTAACATCCCCTGTCTTAGGGTACTGTGTCGAAAAGGATGATCGTCGATGGGAACCGATGTGCAGCCACTCCTTAAATGGTCCAACCGATTCTGGCTTGATGATGGGAAAAGAGGAGTGTACAAGTCCTTCTGGTTATTACGAGCTGTTTATTCCTGTGGACAAGAATCTAGACTGCAGTGCCACTAGGATGAAAGACACCAACTGCAAAGATCTTGACGTGAGTTTCAGCTCCTGAAAATTCTCGTACAGTGCATCGTTAACGCCCGGCAGGTTGTTAAACGTTTTTAATAGCACCAAAGCGGAGGTTTTCTTGTGGTCTTAGTTTCCTGTTTTAATCGCAGAGGGTTAAATCCCGTTTGTTTGCTTTAGAGTGGCAGTTCCACCGCCAATCGGGTTAATCTATATTAGTTTTGCCCCTTTGAACTTTGTTGAAATAGGCATCTGTCTTTTACAAATCATTCCACTGCATTTTCGACCGTCGTTTACGAGAGACAGCGTGGCCGAGTGGTCAACGCGTCGAACTCGGGTTCGAGTCCCGAGCTCCGACGACTCGGCGGATTTCAGTTTAAGTCGCTTGGGGTTCAACTCCTCGGCAGTGCATGCAAAGGGACTGCGTAACCAGCTGACTACGTTCTTCTTGTTGGGTTTTTTAACCCTGTCATGTTACAGTTTTGAGAAAAAAAAATCGACAACATTTTTTAAACCAAAAGTTTGAAATCATGAAACACAGAGTTGAGTTTATGATAATGCGAGAAAACTATTACAACATAATAAAGAAACGTGACAATGTGTGACTATAAATTCGACTATGTGTTTCACGATTTCAAGCTGAAGATGACAGTTAACATGTCTAAGTATAAAAGTATTGGCTTTTTTTTGTTTATTTGTTTATTATTTTTTGTCTAATTTATAATTAGTCTGCTGCTCTCCAGACCCTAATGTAATGTTTAATTAAAACACTTGTTGCTAATTATTGAAGAGAAATGCTTATAAAATTTCTGGAGCTGTTAAGTTCACTTCCACTCTAATAAATCCAATTGCCATATTTTGTTTATTATTTCATTTTAGCTGACGAAGTTCACTAAGATGAACGTTTGGGTGTATTACTTGTACTGGTCGAACAAGTATCCTGTCGGACCTGATGACCCCGTATGTCGTGTTGCAACGATAAAACGGAATCAAACAGAGATCGTCAAACAGCAGGTTCCTGATGCCCTAGAAGAAGATAAAGAATGAATCTTAAAGGTCGTGCCCAACCATTGCATTTACAATGTAGCTTTGAATATGAGACAGTTGTGGCTGAAATGCCTCATCCAACATTCATTTGTAGAATCGAATTATGAATTAACCTATTAAATCCTAAGATAAAATTTGAATTCTCATTTGTTGCCCCTATTCATTTCCTACAAAAGTAGTGGGGAGAAGATGATAAAATATCAAGCAAATTCATCTTGTGTGATCATGTCCCGTAATTCTCATGACCACGTTGTTTTACAAAACATTAACATTACAAGGAGAAATTTGATGCTGATCAGTCTTAGGGCTTAAAGGGTTAAAAAGCTTACTTTGGTTTCACCTTCAGTTGTCTAAACTTTGTACACAAGTCTATGAAAAAGAGGTTCTAGATTCTGCCCAAAAAACTGCAAGTGAGGAATGCTGGATTTAGGGTTTTCTAAAAGCATCATTGCATGATCGAGGTCTTTTGGAGTTTCTTGAAGACATATTTCTAAGGGCTGTTAGCATATTTAAAAGGTTTACTGATGAGAGGAATGACGGCTATGGACCAAAACAGCCCTGTAGGTTTGTATGTGAAAGTAATACCACTCCCTGGTGGTATATTCATCCCAAACAAAAATAAACCAAAATCTGCAACATATCGAAATATATACCACATACACGGCAGTCGTTTTCATCAGCTTCTAAGCGTTTAATCATTGTCATTATCATTATTATTGTAGCTTACATGTAACTGACTGATTTTACAGGTTTTGCTATTGTAGCTTACTAGATCGGTTTTATTTTTAAGAGACTGATTATAAAGTCGTTGCTTTACTGGCAAATGAACGCCCAGGCTGGCTGCAGAAGGGACGAGAAATTTCCATACTCATAGTTGAATACACTAGGAAAAAATCTGAGTTTATTCTACAACTAGCAAATGCCTATATTTCTGGTAAAACACGAACAACAAGTCTCTCCTAACCCTTTGAATACCCAAACTGATTGTTCTGCATGCAGAATTGACGATTTCTAGACTTACAGCCACGTAAATAGCTGCAAAAATTAAAAAAACTGTAAAGGCATGTAAAAAACCTCAAATTAGCTTTTAGACGATCGGAAAGATAATTCTATTTTAAGTTGCTGTAAACTAAAATTAAGCTGTCAATTACTTAAAACAGTCACTGAAGAGGAAAGAAGTGAGTAAGGCATGACAATTTTCTTTTTAATTTTCGCTGTTGGTGATTAACACCTTTCAATCAGCCAGTCAGCTTTAAGGATTCTCACACAGAACACCAAGTTTGAATATTAATAAGATTATGTTTTAGTCTCTATGTTTATGAAGCCAAACATCTGCTCTTATTCAAGGAGGCAGATGAAAAAATGACCTGCAACCGTTTCATCCTTGGAGGTATGGCTATCGGTTACATTTGATCAGTGACGGAAGGCCCTTTTTTTCTTGGTACCTGCAAAAGAATAATTGAAACATAAGTTGATGAGTTATTTTATTTATTTATTTTCATATTTTAATTATGAAAATAAATGAATGAATTATTCTAGTAGTGAATAGTAGTTTTTTTTTAACTTTATAGGAAAGCTACTCCCGGCAAGAGTTTTCTGGTAGGAGGTGCATAAACAAAAGAATGACGTCAAATTCTATCACAGCCATTTTAGGGAAAAATCAACCTTTGTGTCTACATTTGCGCGTGGGTATTGCTAAAGACCCCTAAATAGCAACATTTGTCAGCATTGCGCAGGAAAAAAGATGCGGCAACCCCCTTCAAGTTTTACTACGTTTTCATCATCTTTTTGACTTGTTACAACAGTGTACCAAGTTTCATCGCACACCGCACCCACACATTATAGTTACCTTTCTCAGGCATGAAATCCGGGGCATATTCGTCTTCCCAGTTAAAGGCTCCTGCTTCATACTTGTTCATATTTTCACCTTTAAAATAATAATTTTAGGGAAAAAAATGCTGGCCACTGTTTTGAGTTGTTATCTGTCAATATCTAAAACTGCTTCTTGACAGCTTTTCAGTACTAACCTTTTCCAAAAAGTTTGCGGAGAATGGCGTTTCTGGCATCAATCCTTTGCCTAGGGTCTGGCAAGAAACGCTGTAGAGTGCAAAAATTCTTGAACGTCAATCTATAATATAAACATTATTAATCTCGAATTTTTAGGGTATCATGTAGGCTCCATGTAAAGAAAAGAAGTTAAGAAATTAGTGAGAGAGTATCTGAACCATTCTGGTTTTAATTTTACTCACCAAATTCATTGCATGTCATAGGCCTGTCCCCTGCAATTATTTAATAAAGGCTGCGCACTTTTTGTTTCTTTTGGTTGTAAGGAACAGTTTGGAAATCGCCAGAAGCTTCTTTGTTCCATTTTAAAAGTATTTGAGCTATCTAGTTTAAGGCGGTTAGTAAAATATTTGAATTTTAACCTACCTTTCCGGTACCAAAGAGGATTGCTTGAGCTGTGAAACCCATGAATGCAACAAAAAAACAGCAACAACAAAAGTCGAGCCATTTTGTAAGCGTGCTCTTTGTTGTCTTGATTTTCAGTCACCCGAGAGCAGTGCGAGTTTAAGCTGCTGTGATGAGTTACATCACATTTATTTATTCATAGTCCCATCAATATTGTTTTGAATATTTTCCGGTACAAATATAACGTTCGTGAAATGCATTCACTATCCGAATATCCATCGAGGACATGTCATCATATGTGGTCCAAATTGACGCTAAAACAGCGGCGGCGGAGCAAAGGAAAAAGTAGGGGGGAGGGTGCTGAAAACAAAACTGGACATTCCATTTTTTTTTCCAGTAAGTTGTTGATTTAAAAGAGGTGGGATGGTTTTGTTGTATTTGAGAAACTATGGAAACGTGAAATGTGGCCGATATCAAAACCAAAATTTTGCTGATCAAGTGTTTGACGTTTAGCATTCAAAGAACGTGGATGTAGCTTATTCAGCTTTCATATATCCTTAAAAAAAAATATTTTAAAAATTAGACATGCTCTCCTCTTGTATTTTTAGCTTTGATAAATGCTAGCTAACGGTATTAAAATGAATATAAAATCCGAGAAACTTAAAATAATTTGTTATTATACAAAATATCACCTAAAAAATCAATTTTTACTGTCGAACGGCTCCCGTAAGCGACCACCCAAAATGCAAAGACTTAGTGGTCGCTTATAAGAATCAAACCATAGGGGCCCTCTTCCGAGAAGAGGTCCAGGCACATCTACTTTATGGAAGATAATTTATTGCATACAATTTCTAAGTTACGCCATGTGTAGCTCCACGTTGTCACTCAAAGTTCTTCGTACATTCAAAGTAGCACAGCGCACACAGTGAACATAGAGATCAGAGAATGTGTCAAGTGGTCGCTTACAAGTGGTAAAAAACAATTATACCGGACTGCCGGTCATTTAGTGTTTTGAAAACCTTGACCGGTTACCAGCCATATAGCCACAGCGAAAAAAAAAAAACTGAAACCTGAAACCTTCCTCTTTAACCCCCCCGCCAGTTCTTCGTTGATAGCATCTTTGAGTAATTACTTATATTACTCGTGATTGATTCTTTATTTTCGGTTTCTCAGAACAGTCCAACATTTCCAACCTGATTACGAGATGTTGAGCCCAAAATCACTGTAAAAGCAATACCGATATAGGGTGAAGGACCAACGGGTAACACGAAATGTTTATTTTCCTTTTAGAACAGAGCTCATTTTAATAGAATCTAAATTTTACTTATTTGAATAACTTCTCTGGTCAGACAAAATTTGGGAAAAAATAACAGAGCAATTGAGCAAAATTGACAACGGACTGATTTGCTTTTAAGTTTCATTTTAAATGTTATCAAACAAGTTTTAAAAAGAGAATACGAAAGCTGAGTGAGGTTCGTCAGCTCAGGCAAAGACGTGGCATTAAGGAAATAAACAAGTTATATAAGAATGTTCTTAATTGTTTTCCGGAAATAAACACATAGTGCCGGAACAAGATATTGATACAGGGATGGACTGGCGCGTAAGAATCTTCGGGAAAGATATATATTGCATTATTATCATTTTTTCATCTGTCACAGTCTTTGCCGGTGTTCTTTTTGCGGTGCATCAGCCGGGCGCAAACCATGAACCTAGACCATCAGTCACTCTAGTCAATCATTCTGTTCATAAACTAAGCACATTCCTGAGGATTCGTGCAGATCCCAGCATGCAGATCTTATGGGTCTCTGTTAGATTAGCTCTCCCTTATACTTTCTTGATGTTTTCTACTATCCCCTTGTTGTTGTTGTTGTTGTTGTTATTGTTAGTATTATTATTATTATTATTATTATTATTATTATTATTATTATTATTATTATTATTCAGAAAAAAGTAATAAATAACGCGGATACGAACGAACGACGTTTCGGTGTCATCTTGACGCCATTTTCAAGTTCAAAATGATTGCTGATAAACTGTCAAAAACATTTTGGTTGATGATTAGCATATCATATCCGAGAACTGTCTCACAGATGTTGTTAGATCAATCCAGATTGCCGATTTTGCCGATGACAAAAAGGTTTTCAAAGAAATAACATCTACGCGCGACGCAGAACAACTTCAGGAGAACCTATCTGACCTGATCACGTGATCAGATTCTGCTAGCCTAAACTTTAACTACAGCAAACAGTGCCGCATCACTAGGAAACTTAAACCCGTCGTCTTTGTCTATCATATGGCCGGCTCTCAACTTGAATTTGTCTCTGCCGAGAAGGATCTCTGTGTTTACATCACGGATAACCTCACGTGGAATAAGTTTTGAGCAAGTTTTTGGCGCCAGTACTTGACGCCAAAGTGGATTCAAGATAGGAGAAGACAAACGTAAATCGAATACTGGATAGAGCGATTTTGTTTGACCTTCAAAACGGTTTCCGTCTAGTTTTATCAGGAAACAGTTAGATCAAAACACGAGATTAGTTGCATTTCTGAACTATTTTTGCAAATTTGAACACGGAGGTTGTAGTAAACCATGT